TTCCTAGAGCTTGCCTCTGTTTCTTTTTGCCTCCTCCTACCCCAACATCACTTTCCCCCTTCTTCCACCTCTTAGTGCTTCCTCTCCACAAGCTTGGTGTTGCTCTAATACTCACAGCATCTCTACCCTCTCCTAGATGCTGTTTCCAATTCCCTAGTTGTTCCCCTGTCCATGACGCCGTCCACTCATCACACCCTTCTCCCCACCTCCTTCTTCCCCCTCTACCTTCTGGGGCCATTGGCCCCATTGCCTTCACTCCAGGTCTCCCTCCCATGGTCCAACCCATATAATTAGGGAAACCATCCATGTCCTTGTCCGAACAATAAGAAAACATATGGTTGAAGAAAGAAAAGGAAAGAGAAAAAGATGAGAGAAAAGAAAAATTAAAAAGAAAGAAAAACAAAAAAACCCTACATAGTTCCAGGTCTGTTTGCTGGTCCCCATGAGACCTTCCCTGAGGGACCTGCCCCTCCTCACCTGAAGTCCATTCTTGGGCCTCCTCAGGGGCTCTGTGGCTCAGTTTTATTCCAATTGCTGATCTGTTATGCTCCATTCCCCCACTGTCCACCTGCCATGTGTCTCCATTATTGTCCTCTGTCTCTGTATGCTCCAGTTAGGGGACAACATGTCTTGAGCTCTTGGTAGTCCCCCAGTCCTCTCTGTGCCCCAGCAGTTCCATTGTTATTATTTTCATCTCTCACACTGACCGCTGTCTCACTTCCCCCATGTTTTCTGTTGTTTTTCCACCTGTAAAGGGATGTATGATTATGTGTCGATCATTGCGATAGGTTCCCCCCTTTCTCCCTTCCTCACCCCCTCTTCCCTCTACCCTTCTTGTATCACTATTCCCACTCCTGTTCCTGGATTCTGTGTGTCGTGAGCTCCCATCCCTTTCTAAACCTGTGTACATATTCCGGTCTAGTCTGAATTGAAAAGCAGCATTGGGGTCATGGTAGTGGGGGGTAAGGAACCCTCAAGGAAACAGCGAAATACAATGTTTTTCATCACTGCTTTGCTGTACCCTGGTGGGTGACTCACCCCCTCCCTGTGGGCCCTCTGTGGGGAGATTGTTCCACTATCTACAGACAGACTTTGGATCTCTGCTCCAGCCCCCCTCATTCTCAACAATATGTTTTTGTTTGCTATGTGTCTGCTGATGCCTATTACCCAGTCCCTATGACTCCTCATGATCTCAC